TGACAGTAGTTTAATGTCTTGTCATTATGCAGCTATTATTTTGAATTGGTAAGCCTACAGCCTACTCTTTATTTCCCTCATAAATACAGAAACGGGGGAGGGGGGAGGTCACATTAAACTAGAAATAAAATATGTAAGAAGTATCTGTATTGGTATCGATATCAACAATACCAGCCAGGGTATTACTTGGTACTGGATCGTATAGTTATTAAGGGATATCGCACGACGCCACAACATGTTCCTACAAATGTTTCACAGTTAAAGCCTTGTTATGAAATGGATACTGTCCACTGAAACACTAGAGGGCTTTTAATTTGAAGCAGATACAGGATGTGTTTTTACTAACAGCATAATGCAACAAATGTGACAACATAACAACATTTTTACGGAGTTGATCGAAAAACAAATTTGCTCATCCTAAAATACGAGCAAATTTACTTATCAACCACAGGGAATGACTAAGGCCGTGGCATTGTTTTAATCCCCTGTTAAATAATGTTTGGCTGAGACATTACACACAAACACTGTATACGCACACTAAAAAAAAATCTGGCATGTGTGGCTGTTGTAGGATTGTAATCAATCAGTCATTTCATTGATAAGGCTTGTCGATTGGCAGGATTTTTTTCAGTTGAACTTACTTGTCTACTTTACCTTTAAAGTGAGGAAATGCACATGCTAGCGTATATTTATTTTATTTGGAACTCTCAAACTGCAAGTGAGTCTATTTCTCTGTGCTGTTGTTCACATAGACACGTTAGCTAGCTGTCATGTATTAGCTAATGTTAGCGCTTGCCCCAGAAGACATCTGTCAGACAAGCATAACGTCAGTTAAAAGTTAACTTTAACCCTGGCAGGTCCTATGTGAGTAACCAACAACAGAGAGAAATAGACTTGGTTGATGTCTATGAAGATTCTCAGTCATCCAGGTCATAGGTCTCCAACGAAGGTTAAAATCAAGGGCAACTGGACTTGGTTGAAGATACTGGAAGACGTTTCGTCCCTCATCCAAAGGACTTCTTCAGTTCTGACTGACTGGCAGGGAAACTCAGCTATTTAACCTCAGTGGGGTCGTTATCCCGGGTCATCGATACCGCTGGTTCGTTAGTGTTCCTTGTTGCTGTGACGACAGTCGTTACAGTCGTTAAGACTACCTGTGGCCAAGACTGAACGACCATCGTTGGTATCTTCACCTGAGGCCAATAGGTTACGTTTGTTGAGTTTCCTGGGAAGTGATGAAAGGATGCGTTTGTGTAGTGGTTGTTTAGTCTCCCCAATACCTGTATAACCTGTATATTGGGGAGACTAAACAACCACTACACAAACGCATGGCTCAACACAGAAGGGCCAACTCCTCAGGTCAAGACTCTGCAGTCTACTTACATCTGAAGGACAGAGGACACTCGTTTGAGGACCACCAGGTGCACATTTTAGGCAGAGAAGATGGATGGTTTGAAAGAGGTGACAAGGAAGTATCTACACCAGGACCAGACTGTAATGACTGTCGTCACAGCAACAAGGAACACTAACGAACCAGCGGTATCGATGACCCAGGATAACGACCCCACTGAGGTTAAATAGCTGAGTTTCCCTGCCAGTCAGTCAGAACTGAAGAAGTCCTTTGGATGAGGGACGAAACATCTTCCAGTATCTTCAACCAAGTCCAGTTGCCCTTGATTTTAACCTTCGTTGGATAGACTTGGTTGATGTTTGAGAGTTCCCGGTGAACTAGTGGAAGCCATTGCCATAGGTTTGCAGTGATGAAGCTGAAAGGAACTGCATAGAGCATTGGAGGCGGGGCACCGTTCATTCCTGTGAAAGCTGGTCAGCGGCGCATGAAGCCAAAAAAGTTTGATTTCCAAGTTAAATTACCCGGATCTTCCGCATAGCCTCGGCATTGTGTGGCCCATAAGGGCAAGAGCACTAGAGATCCTTCTATTGGCACCAGGGTCTAGTGCGCATGGTTGGGCAGCATTAGACGTAGTTTAATGACATAGAGCAACAGCAGAAACACCATAATTCTAGTAGCTGCACGGCTGCACAGAAACCTTCCATTCAGGCATTGGTTGGCTTCACTCTTCGAACTCTCGCTTACCCCTTTGGCTTCAACGCCCTGTGACACGTGTCCGTGAACAAGACACTTAACCCTAGGTGCTCCAGAGGTGCGACTTCTGACATATATAGCAATTGTAAGTCGCTTTTGATAAAAGCTTTAGCTAAATGACTAAATACTTATGAAACAACGCACATATATGTTTTATTTAAACAGACTTTTATCACAATCCCATCTGCTGTCTCTGACAATCTGAAAGCGTTTGTTTGTTTGTTTGTTTGGTCATGTATTGATAAGACGTTAATAATTGTAAATGTAAATTAATAAAATGTAAATGCCCAGGTAGATGAACAGCAGCCCAAGTACATTTGGCGACCCATTTTAAAATCATTCTTGATTGCAGCGCAGCACATATTCGCTCCACACATCCTCTCACTCGCTCTCGCTCTCTCTCTCTCTCACACAAACAGGACAACAGATCCGTCTGTGAATTGAATGGCTGGTATCATGAACACCGCTGCAAAAATCTGTCCAACACAACGCTGTCAATGTCGGAGACTCATCTTCAAAACAGTTATTAGCAAGCATGTAAGGAGCCTAGCTAATAAGGAGAACTATGTTAACTTAGGAACAGCTGGCAAAGTCACACACTGTATAACTGGTAGTTCGAGATAACTGGCTGACTTTTGAGGACTAGATAGGGGCATAAAAACAGCGCCGTCTAGTCAGACAAAATCTACCTCCGGTAGACTGCGTGAGCTTACTGTGAGTTTATAGCAATGATCAGGCGGGAGGTTAAGCTGAGAAAAGAGGTGGATGCCTACAACATCTGTTGAAGGTCCTTTTCAGACACTTTGCTGTTTGAATAATGCCACGTTTTTTCTGAATCTCATTTGGGAGCTTTGCGACCCTCTTCTCCTGTTCTTTTCTCTCCTGTCTCTTCTTAAAACTACTTTTATGCTTGAATGGCATGACTGCTAGCCTGCACGTGTCCTCTGCTAGTCTATTTCTCAGATTTTTCGTTTCACCCTTCTGCAGTCTTGTCGTCTCGTCACATGATCAAATAGAAACTTAAGCTTGGACAGCTATACACATATTACCCAGCAATCATCACTATGGGCTATGTGACACGAATACCAAAGAAAATAAGACAAATTCATTCTGTGGAATCAATTTATTCATACTTCACCGTAAACCTTATAGCCTATGGTTGTTACAGACAAGTCTGTTGTGTCCGACACCACAGCAAAGGGGGAAATGCACATTTAAGTGTATGTATACTACTTGGTCTCCACATAAATATATATCGTTTAAGGTGAACTAGGTGTCTACTATTCCACCAATTCAGCTGCTATAAACAGTGCAAACAGCTGCTGACGTCAAATCATTAGGCTATAATATGAACCAGAGCATCCTCTGAATTCAGCACTAACTTGCTGTGTTTTATGTTGTCATATATTAACAGCAGTGCCCATTATGTAGTCTGCATTCCAACAGTATAACCTTTTCATGACAGTTATAGGCTTCATTTGAGTATACCAAGATTTCCCTGTTTGGACCACCTGCTTAGAACTTGTCCATCTGTAACTCTTATTTTAAGCAATTTTAGTGAGCCAAGCAGTGGGGGGAAATACCATGCCTGTAGTTAGTGTGTTCTTAACTAAACACAGTGCTTTGCCCACTGCCTGGTGTATACCTTCACTGCACACACACACACTATATAACTCTGATTGAGTATAGGTTTAATTTTTGTATAAATTATCGTAAATAAACTCTATTAAACAAAACAAAAAATCTGGACCTCAATAATTTCTAAACCCTGGTTACAGCCCTGCCTCTAACCCTTCCTCAATATGCCATAAAAGTGACAGAAAGTTGAAAGTGAAAACCACCGACACTGAAAAGAAACTGACAGATTTAAAAAAAAAAAAAAGAAAATACTGAAATAAAACATCTCAATGCAAAAAAATAATAACACAAATTAAATGTTTTAATGCCTTTTTAAATTTTTAATGCCTTCATCCAAACACACAGAAAAATATTAACGTGCAAATATTGCCTGTAGTCTGTATTTTGAGAGACAGGGTGTGATTTTTCTTTTTTTTCGTAGTAGCACAAAAACAACAATAGCCTGAGGTTGTGTCTGGCAGAAAATTTGAATTTGCTTGTGGAAGTGAATCTGTGGCCAAACAAGCCACCACAAATATCAGAACAGCCCAACTTTAGTCTACAAAGTAGAAAAAGAGATTGGTGAGAACTGCCTAGGGTATTTTTATATCTTTGGAAAATGAAATGATAAACTTGTGCAGGTAAAGATAACGGCAGAAAGTCAACAGGGTGGATGAGGACAGCAGGTAGCATATCTGTTAATGACTTGAAATGAACATTTGGATCATGCTGTCTGTGTGAAATGACAATGGCTGAATGGTAAGAGAACAACACTTCTGTGACCAAATGGATATCAGTTTAAGCTCCTGGCACAGGAGAAATTTAAATTCACAGCAGAGAAAAGACATATCTTAAGACATTTGCATTGAATCTCTTTTAAGAAAACTCTGGCAACGCTGTAAAGTGAAAATGTGTACAATAATTTTATTTTGTGTTCTTGACAAAATATGTTTTAAAATGTTTAAAATGTTTCTAAAGAATTATGAGTACCTCAGAGCCATTTATGAAGACATCACATTATTAATAAAAGTCAGTTCTAACTTGCTATAATAGGCAGAAACGATTTCTTTATTCAGTCTTATGTGATTTATCTTTAGTATACATAGTGCAGACACAGCAAGATACATTACAATGAACAGAACAACGGGTCATGTCTTCTAACTTATTCTGCACAAAAAGTAACTTTCCTTTTTTGACACAGCTATCAGTGCAAATAGGCATTACTGTTTGCCAAAGGCAAAGGGGAGCAAAGTATGTTTGACTAACTGTAATGAGGGCACTGGAGGAAAACTTGTCTGACTCATAGAAAAGAGAAAAGAGCCTTTTAGCGTTGACGACTTTGCCACTATTCTGCAAGTCATCGTGCTTCACCTTCACGTGAGCATTATTACACAGTGCTTTGTGACAAATGAATAGTTTAGATCCTGAAGTGGTCAGCATGTATTCCAATGTATTCTTACAAACAAGCTGGTTGAGATTTGTTATTTTGAGACAATAAATAGAAAAAAAAATAATTGCAGGTAGTTACTTCCAGCTCTTATCTGCACAATTATGTATCATTCATGAAGTGAATATTGTGTGGGGACCCCATAAAAAGTGATGCCTGCATTTGCAGAATCTATATCTAGTATTTACGCTCCGTCTATTTGAATATGTGAACTTTATAATTGTATAGACAGTATATGACCCTATATGAGTTTTTTGTGTGATGTATTTGGCAGGTGACTGGCTGGCTGGAATACCACCCTACTCTTTCTCCTTCTGAGGACATCCCATTCCAGGACTGTGCTTTGGTCTCACTCCCCCCCAGCATGGAGTCCACCAAAGTCCAGTCAGAGGGTGGCCTCAATGTCACCCTTACCATCCGCCTCCTCATGCATGGAAAAGTAAGCACGCACAGACTATTACACTGGCTGTGGTAGAAAAATATGTCCAACATTTGTTTTTTCATTGAAGGGGTCTGCGGACCTGTTATCTGCTTGCAGTGCAGTAGTCTCAGTCATGGATTTGGATATTTCTGCTAAAAGTGTCGTCTGTGGCCCTGGAGGAGCTTTTTCAAATATATGTCATTAACCCTGATGATGTCGTTAGGGTAATGTCAGCTTGGACTAACAGATTTTTAACAGACGAGGGCATAGAGATTGAAAGATTTTTGCGTTAACCAGACAGGGAGGGTTTAGTGAAAATACCTTATTAGTTGCATTATGGGAAATACATGGATCTAGCAGTTTCTGAAGTTTCACCCACGCTAGAGACTAAAAGGCAGAGTATCTCAGCCTCTGCTGCTTCAATATCGACCATTCGTTTTTAAATCTGTTGCTTGTAATCACTGAAGTGCCCTTTCATATAATCTCAGCTGCTCTCCAAATAAATTTAAAATTATTGTGCAACAAAAGCTCTGCTCTTCTCCAACAACAGTCCAGTAAATTGGTTTTACTGACAGATGCCCATTAGACTCCCAACACCCCCAAATGCTCTACATCTGTTGATTCCTAATCTGGCATCCACATCGACATGAAAAATGAGACATAGATGGCCTCATCTTATCTCCTTGGTGTGACGCTGCCCCTACTGCCCCTGCCTCACCATGGCAGTGAGTGCACACTCTGTGACATCCTGTGGGAATACAACATGACATTTGCTTTTGTTCAGGCCCTGATGTGTAGTGTGCTCTCCCTCCCCTCTGCTTCCCTTCTGCTTTTTAAGAAGTGGTCAGAGTTTGTGTGTGTTTGTAGGTCTGCTCGTGTAAGGTCATTCACGCCCTGCCCCAACTGCAGTGGGTCTACTAGTAGCTGCAACAACTGGCTTCACTTCTTTATTGTCAGCTTGTTAAAGGATGTTTTTGAGTGAAATAAAATGTTGGTGTGTATCAGTAGCTCTGTTTTAAGTCTCAAGAGATGTCTGCTGGCCACTAGGCAATCTGAAAAGCACACTATACATCTCCACTGAGCTGGCCATGTTTGGGATTAACACAAAGATTAGAGCCAAAATCTTCCCCTTGTTTTGTGTGCCAGGCAGACTGCAGCCCAGAAAATCACCGACTGCTTGGCTGCTCATGCAGGAGCGCCAGACACAAGTCGCCTGTTGATAGTTTGAATAACCCTGCAGCCATAAAGGCCCAATCAGGTCCCAGAGCACAGGTACACGTCCCCTACACCTTCCGAGACACTCCCACTCCTCCACAGATCATCAAGAAATCTAAAAGACTTTACGCGGGACATGTGTCTTCAGTGTACCCCCTCTGGACTGCATGAGCAGAACAGGTGACCACAGGGCATAGCTGTTGTTGGGGCAGGTATGTGTTGATCCTTTAGTTTCCATGTTGTTTTCTCAGTTTTGGTTTTCTGGAAGTTTTCAAAGCATTACTTTAGCAGTAATTGTGCTTCTAATTGGATTTACTGTAGCTTAAGTTTTGGCCTAATTCTCAGATGTGAGTGATGCCTGAATGTTTATGTCCACTGAGTCTGGCTGCGTTGCGTTACTGCTGCGTCACGGTATTGTTCCTCTGCCCAGAGTCAACGTGGCGCAGCTGGACTCAGTGGACTGGTAAAAGTTGATAAAAACTCTGCTGTAATTAAGTTACTGAATGCATGGAAAATTAACATGTCAGTAGTGAGTGATGAAACAGTCACAATAAATACAATATTGCCTTCGATATACAAGAACCTACATCCTGGCTGATTAAATGTATAAAAAAGGGTGTTGAGTATGGCCGGAACATGTGGTAAGGAAATTAATATTGTGTAGCGAGCAACAAGGGTAGTGTTAAAAATTCTGTGTCTATTCTATTTTCTACATGGTAATGAAGTAAAAGTTGTTTTAAAACAAAACAGTTTAATGAAATACAGATTCCTAAAAGAACATCTGAGAACCTCAACAAAGTATTTCTACTCTGTGACTTTACATTGTGTTTGATACATATAAATGAATTCTTAGGGAAGAACCTTGCACTGTGCAGCAACTGGCCTGCAGCATTAACGTCACAATGGATGTAACCCTCGTCGCTGAGGAGAGGTCAGGGAGTGTTGACGCTTGCAGCCAGCGCTGCCCCGCCTGCCCTTTCTCCACTGTTCCACACCAAGCTAATGAAGAGTGATTACATGCATATAGAAAGTGTGGCCCTCAACACCGCCATGCAGCTGTGTAACCTCCTCGTGCCCCTGTACTGTTTGCACCATGTCCGGGAAAACAACAGCAAGCTGTTTCAGTGCTGTGCATTTATCCAGAAGATTCTTCAATGAATCACTTTTAAAAATCCACGTTTGTTTTCTCTTTTTTTGTTTTTTTTATCGCAGGAGGTTGGAAGTATAATTGGCAAGGTATGTTATTTTTAATAGAACATGTATTCATGGAAAGAATATACATATTGAACCATGTTTTGAATAATTTTTTTTTTTTTTTAACTTTTTTACAGAAAGGGGAAACAGTAAAAAAGATGCGTGAAGAGGTGGGTTTCCGTCTCAAAAAGCACCACTTAAATTCGGTATCGATCCATTTGTGGATTACGGTCTCACATTGACTATGGGGACTCCATCGACAATATGTTTATGTTGTTTTTCCAGAGCGGAGCACGGATCAATATTTCTGAGGGCAACTGTCCAGAGAGGATTGTCACCATCACTGGACCAACAGACACCATCTTCAAGGCTTTTGCTATGATTGCCTACAAATTTGAGGAGGTACGATACAAGTTGTGTAATGGGTGGCAGCAGTATTTTTATTTAAAGTACACATGCACCTCTCACTGGGCACATGCACTAATAAAGTCCAAAGTTCAAGTCCTTTTGCCCTCTTTATGTACACACAAAGTACCTGTCTGCCTTTGGTTTATTAGTGTAATTCCAGATTAGTGTTAAATCTCATTTTAATTCCAAGAGTCTTTCTGGACCTCAGGCTACTGTACCTCAAATTGAAACAGCAGACACAAACATCTGTCTGCTTGATATTATTCCCAAAACTTAGTTTATCATTTTAAACTTAGTTTCACATTTTCAACATGCAAAGTCTCCAGTCGTTGGAGCACTGAACACAGATCTTTCTGATAGGACACATAAATATATTCGATGTACAGTATCTTAATCTCATTCAACCCTGTGGTGTAAAATGCTAAATAAATCTACCTTGTACCTTGAAATAATCCTTCATTGTGGTAGATGTTTCGATTGCATGGATGCAAAAGGTGAATGTAAATCATTTCCATTCAGCTATCTCTTCCTCTGTTCCTGTATTTGATGTCACTCACCTAAATGATAAACTCAAGTGTTGTGACTGGAAGTTGCAAAAGGAGACCGACTGCTGTGTCCTCAGTGACCTGTGAAAAATCTGGTCCGCCAGACCAAGGCTCGTTATTTAAAGACAAAGCCAAAGGACAGTGCTCATTCACCAAGCAGAAAAGATGTGAAACAAAAACATATATGTTTGTGAAACTCATTTGTACTGACTTTTAAGTTTGGGTATGGATTTATATGGATCGCCATTACCAAAACAATTGACGTCATGAATATTTTTTGTGTCACAAGATGAAATATATGTTCTTGTTTTCTAGGACATAATCAATTCCATGAGCAACAGCCCAGCAACCAGCAAGCCCCCAGTCACCTTAAGGCTTGTAGTGCCAGCCAGCCAGTGTGGCTCCCTCATAGGAAAAGGAGGCTCCAAAATAAAAGAAATGAGAGAGGTATGGTATTTTCTTATGGATAACCTACAAATTGCTGTACATATATAAGAATCAGGACATTTCGCTCTTTATGCAAGACCAACAGAAAATGTAGTGCAGCCAAATGATTTTGTCTCTCCCCTTGTGTTATTTACATTATATTTGTTAGTTACATTGTCCCTGAATACTTCAGTAGTGAGATAGATTTGAAAATTGATTCATTGTTTCATTAAACTGTTACATTTTCCTAATTTTTCTGTTTTGTTTTTTTTCATTTTATAGTGCAGTATGTAGGATTATTATAACGTTATAACTAACTTTCAAACACAAATTCCTGAGCTTGTAGCTACAGTAACAACATTGTTGCACCTGCAGTTTAATTAGCACAGGCCGAGCCCTATAACCTGATTTCCTATTTAACTCACACACTCAATTCACAGCACATTCTTACATGCTTGTTCATCTATCTAATCAGGAAAGACCAGGGGTGGAAATTAACTTTTTGGCTCAGCTGCCAATGGGACTAATAGATGAAAAAATCCACCGGCCAAACATATTTTTTACCGGCCAAAATAATAACTTGCCTTTTTATGTCACTTAAACGTTTGTTTCAGTACTTTTAATTGAGATAATGAGGTATTCTGTCGAATACAAACTTAAAGAAGACACCATATTGAAATTTGAAGCAAAATTAATTCATTGCTATAAAATGTACTTAAGACATAACAGTAAATTGTTCCATAAACTTACAAGATGCTAAAGAAGCTCTTTATAATGCTTTATCATTCAACTTAAACCTCATCAATAATATTTTTTCTATCTTCTGCTTCAGCCTCATTTTTGCCTCCCCCCACTATATTCATTAAACTTTCATATGAAGTGTATCACTACCACAGGCCTAATATTAATTGTAGGTTGTTTTCATTTATTAAATCTTTGGTCAAGAAAAACTACAGTCTACACACATATCTATTTTAGGGGCAAATGCATGTGAAATACTCTGTTTAGCAACTCATCGTCTGTCCTGAACCCGTCGCACTGCTTTACTTCTTCTTCTTGTTTTATTTGCGAGTGCTGTTGACTTATGTTCACTGTTACAGGGCTGTTCTACATGCTGCCATCGGCTTTACCGGAGGGGAACGTAGCAAACAGCGGGTAAAAATAAACAGGAGATTTACGGGGAAATATTTTAGGAGGGAGGACATCGGGAGAGAACAGAGAAGCCCGGGAAACGGGAGGGTTGACAGGTGTGCACGTTACGGTGGTCGCTAGCTACATGCTAAAAACACTCCAGGTACTCCAAGCACGACTTGACGGCTCCCAACTCCAATCCCTAATGCCCACCCCCTTACAAATCTATGCAAATCAAACACAAGAAACCTGAAATGAACTTAAAAACAACAACCAATGAACGTCCCTAATCCGTGTGTTACATGATTTAAGATCCCTTGGTACCGCGGGGACCGATTTAAGTGCGACACACCACAAAAAACAACAGGTCCGTCAAAAAGATATTATATGGCGAAATCGTTCCGATTACGTTCTTCCGCCAATGTGGCGGGTAGCCTTCCAACATTAGCCACCAAACAGAAAATCTACCCGCATTTGGCGCTTGCCAGGTGTTAATTTCCAGCCCTGGGAAAGGCTAAAATACAGTACCCACTACCGGATATATAAATACCCGTCTTAAACGAATTGCCATCCTCCACGTCATGGCAGGGTGTGATGTGAACCGAGACTTTTGTGTACCGTTACACCCCTAGTGAACATACTCTGTAGAAAAGCTCCTACAATGTTGGAAAAGTGTGAGAGTTCTCCACTTCTGCCTTCAGGTTGATGTCACCAGATGAAGTCTGGAATAAACTTAAAACTGTAGCAGAAGATGTAGAGGCAAAAGCAGAGGCACGTTACTCTGGCCATGAAGGCCACATGTTGTATTCTACGCTACGTCCAGGCTACGTTCAGACTGCAGGCCAAAGTGACTCAAATCCAGTTCTTTTGCTCATGTGTGACTCAGATCTGATCTTTTTATGACAGTGTCATAAAATTGTCATTTTATTGAAGCGACTTTGACGTCACTCTAGAGCAGCTGTTCTGCTGTAGACGGTGAACAAAAAAGCTCCACAAAAGCCATAATTAAACATGTGGCTCTCTTTCTTCTCTACCTCGCTATCATCTGCTCACAAATTCCCTTTCTTACACCTGGAATCCACCAGATCGCAAGCTCTCTTCTGAGTTACGTGCATGCTACTTGAGTCTGTGCTGACGTGGTAGAGAGAGAGAGAGAGAGTGAGATGTGGGACAGTTGCGTTGTACAGCGAACAGAAACCGTAATGAAAAGGAAAGAAAGTTGTGAACACTTAAAAATGGCCTGCAGTCTGAATGTAGCCTTAGATGGACCTTCATAGGCAGCATGGCACATGTCATAGCTGAGAGCGTCAGCGTTACATCACAGAGGGGCCAGGTTAAACATCTTATTTATCATGCTGCTCTTTCGGGTGTTAAAGAAATGTTTATACAGGGGGAGAGTACAAAGGCCTAGTGTAAAGCCTGCACCCGGTGGAAAAAAGTACATTTACATTTCTGTGTCCTGCCCTATATAAGTGAGTAAATGTAGAACCCCTTAGAGTGCTGCACAGCCTGCGTGACATAGAACTGAATTTGTCAGCATTGTCAAGTCCCTCAAAGTCCCTTACTCTACTCCAGTCCACAGGGGCCCAGGTTCAGGTGGCAGGGGACATGCTGCCCAACTCCACAGAGCGTGCAGTGACAATCTCTGGGACCCCAGAAGCCATCATCCAGTGTGTCAAACAAATCTGTGTGGTCATGCTGGAGGTACAGTATGCCGCCATTTAGCAAAACAGCTTTAAAGTGTTCATTTTTGTAAGAATTAAGTTAAATATAATTATTTTATAACTGAATAGTTTGAGGCTTTGAGAGTTGGGTTTCTGGCTAGACACTCATGTACCATGTCTCCATAAATAGTTACATTCCCTTCTTGTGGTGGTTAAACAGGAACTGCAAGGAATTGATTTTTGAATGGGACTCAAAGTTTAAATGGACTTCACATAAAGAAAAAAATGCCACCATGAGTTAGGCTGGATCAGAAACACCTGGTTTTTGTTGTCCATAAATGTCAACTTGACAAAACCTCTTTCCATAATAGAGGACAATTTGTGTTTAGCTATGTGCTTTTCATTTTGTTGCAGACTTGGGTAGGTATTAGAAGCTAGCTGATGGATTATTTGCAATATAACCTATTTAAATAATCAGCAAAATAATATTACAGTTTAGAGGAAACATTTGGTAATTTTTGCACATAACTATCCACTGAACTTTCACTAAAACACAAGCTTGTTTCTGTTCCAGTATGAACACCATTGCTGTTTCTTGATATTGTATCCAAAGCACATACTTAAGTGGATACTCCTCCCTCTCCAGTCCAGCAGCTACAGAGGAAATCTGATTATTCTCATGGAAACTACATCCTTGCTGCCTTAGAAAAAAAGCTGGCACATTTGCAAGAAAAAAATAGGTTTGTGGCGAAGCATTTCGTCTGTGATCATCAGGTTTCCCCCAAACCGGGTCTTTGTATTTTTCTTATCTCCATGAATAGAGGCCAGTAATACCTCTGAGCTCTATGACTCTTGTATTTTCATGAATAATACATATTTCAGATGTTTTGAAAAGCTGTCAGCAAATTAAAACATTTCTCACAGTGAGAACACCAAGTTAAGACATAATATTGCCTCAGAGTGATTTTTCTGTTACTCTGATGTAGCTTGATGTGAAATAGCATCCTGAGAAATGTGATTGGCTAGAGTATGAATACATGTGAATTACCAAGTGAATGAATGAATGCTTTTTACTATTTTTGCCCATAAGGATGATTAAATAATCATGATTTGTACAATCAATGCCCTGCTCCATCCACATGAAATTAAACAGAGCAGTTCACCAGAGTACTACAGTATTTTAAAGGAACAGTTCAACATTTTGGGAAATAAGCATGTTTGTTTAAATGTTGGTCTATTTCTATAAATGAGCGTTTGCATTTTTCAAATGAAGTAAGAACATGCTGACTCTGCCTCTCCTCTTTCTTCCCCTTCTCCTAGTCTCCACCAAAAGGTGCGACCATCCCTTATCGCCCGAAGCCCGCCTCCACCCCAGTAATTTTTTCTGGTGGCCAGGTAAGAGCTGAGCTAGCTCTAGCTTGTTAGTTTGTGCCTACAGCCAACCCTGATACTTTTACTGCAGCATCAGCCACTGCCTGTTTCTGCAAGCCTTTTTACTTTCACATGCCACCGCAAACTTTTCCAAATGAGACTGGCCGCGTTAGAAAAAGTCAGTCAGAGCCAGTCTGCTCTATTTTCTCCATCAGCAGTTGCCTAAAATACTGAGAACTCGTCTTTTTCCCGTATATTTCAACATGCGATCCGTTATCGCCACAGCAAATGAGCCGCACGTGGGCTTGTTAATGACCTGAAACAACTGAAATCAACATCTGCGTCCATCATGATGTTTCATTGTAGACAATGGAAATTTTGTACACATCGCCCAACCCTAGCATGATCCAGCTAATGTACATCATGTATTTGCAGGTGTTGAATGATTTTGAAAATGTAGCAACGAAAAGAGATCATTGTCCACTGTGATGCATGTATACAAAATTTGTTTTACTATAAATGGACACAAATCTAGTCTATAGATCAGTCAGCTGAGACTTTTCAGTAGTTGTGAGTGTTTTTTGTTTGTTTGTAGAATTGAATTTAAAAAAATAAACAGGAAAACCACAGATGAGGAATCATGAAGCAGCTCTTGCTGGAGATGTTCTTCAGGTGGCAATGCAACTTTGTGTACATTATGAATCATATACCTGTTATCACATAATACAGTATCCACAATGTCCCAAGTGTCTGCTGTGAAAATACCTATTCTGTTTTGTGTCTAGTGCATTATATGATATAGGACATTATCTCGTTTGACACTCACAGAAGCAGTTAATTTTGCCTTGGTTTATCATCTAAACAAACACTGATTTCTGATATGCAAGGTCTCATCTTGCATTTCACATGCATCTACATATTACATGCTGTTGATGTTACTGCTCTGAATATAGTACTGATGAGAATGATTAAGACAATCATCACTGTAATATCACTTACTGCTATTGAAAATCATAATTAATTTGCAATCATCACGGTATTATGTTTTGTTTTGAGCGTATAAAGAGCGTTTGTATAGAGCTTACACTAATTTGTTATTTTGTGTTTTTCCCCCTCTTATTGGAAATGAGATGCTAAAATCTCTTATGTTTTGTTTTTTTTTATCTTTCCAGGCCTACACAATTCAGGGACAGTACGCCATTCCACACCCAGATGTGAGTTCTTAGCATATTTCTAAATTAATCAAGAATTATACCAGTATCTTAATTATTTATATGTAATTCAAAAAAGTAGTAGACATTTCATTGCATAAATACACCAGCTCTTTGGAGAGTAGAGGGAAGTCATAAATCACATCTTCCAAAATGTCCTTGTCCTTGTGGTATAAGGGCAGAAAACAGGAAGTAACTCTTACCAGATCTGGTTGATAGCAAAACACTGACTGCTGGTGATAATGATAAGGGCAAAGACTGTTATGGCAGTTTTGATGTAGGCACCCCTTTAGTTCTACTGCACGTAGTGCAGCGCAAATAGTCTACATTAATGATCTGCCTTCATCTGTCCTTGTCATAAGAGCATCTCAAGAGCTACCTTGTGTCAGATCCACTAATTCAAAGTTGGGCAGTGATTGATGCCGCTGGATGAGGTAGTTGACGGTACAATCACTCAAGTACAGGCTTGACACCCTCTTCCAACCTCATTAAAACTCCTCTTAAAAGGAGAAGAAGGCTTGAAAGCGTCCGTCTCCCCCTATTCTTGATGGAAATGATCCGCAGCGGGGGATGGACATCCTGTGAGCATGTCGGTGGGAGAGCAGCTGCTCTGATAGGCATGTAAAGCTAAAGGTTCTCCAGTTCTGAGTGACAACTAGGACACATGTTAATTGAGGGGGCAATTGGGAATGATATTTTTAAAAAATGGTTAATGTGCTCATGAGTGAAGTTGTTTGTCTCTTTTTTAATTTACCAAAGACTGATGTTTGTGAAAATTACCAGAAAATAGGTGGGAAAGACTCAAATTACCTAGCAATTTACAAGTCCATGACAGACAGTCACCCTCTCTCTGTATTTCTTTTCCTCTTACTTTTTTTGTCCTCCACCACCCCGTGTCATGGCCTCCTTTTCCTCACTGTTTCTTCACTCTAGTTTTGGTTGTCTTCATTTCTTGGTGTGACCTGTGTAACAGTAACCTCTTAGTTCTACTTTCCCTCCTAACCCTTCAGCAGTTGACCAAGCTCCACCAGTTGGCTATGCAGCAAACCCCCTTTACCCCTCTCGGACAGACCACCCCTGCTTTCCCTGGTACGTACCCACAAGGCCCTATAGATAACTCCTTCTCTTTGCATCCAGAGAAACCTTTTTCTCTTTCCCATCCTTCCACCTTATCTCTCTTTTGGCACAGCATGACTTGGCCCCTGTGGTTTCTCTCCTTTGATTTTTTTCATGTATATAGTTTTGTCTTGGCTCTGTCTTATATTATACCAGCGAAAGGCAAAAAAAAAAAAAAAAAATACACTGGGCTTCAATTTAGGGCTGAACGATTTTAGAAAATAATCTAATTGCGATTTTTTTTTTTACCAATATTGCGATTGCGATTTAATATGCGATAATTTTTTAAGCTCTTTACCTTCTGAATTATTCAAAATGGACAAACAGTAAATCAGTGTATAGTATAACCAACACAATATTAGATATATAGAACTACACTGTTGTTTCTTGTGGGTCAGGCCTGTGTTACGATGTATTAGGTAGAATTATTATTATGAGCAATGGTGGAGAAGATCATCATTGTCAAATTATAATTATATGAGAAAGATAATTTGAGTCAAGTCATGGCATGAAATAATATGATATAATATCATCAGGTTGGCCTACCTACAGACCACAAGAAAAACTACTGTAACCCACCATAGTGTGTTATACAGTAAACCTCAATACAAAACCCACAGTTCTGATCTCCTAGGAGTCCATCTTTCTATATCCCAGTAAGCAAACAAAAAATACTCAGGGTGAGGTTCAATTCAAAAGTTGGCCAGCGAAAATAAAACGAAGTGTCGCCTCTCGTGTTTAATAGTAATTCTCCGACAACACCGGAGTCCTCCTCCCCCCGAGCCTGCGATGCTGGTGAGCATCACCACTGGGCCTCTCTGAACTTGTGCGTTTGGTTTGAAACACCGTTTCACAGATATTTCCTGAGCTGACTGGTGGCTGTGTGTGTGACGCAGGCGCCGATCGCCACAATACACTTACCTTACTACACGTGTTTTTCTGTTGTGCATTTTTTTCTGTCTGTCAAAGCAGCGGACAGCCCGACGATTTCACCCACCACCACCACCAAGTTACCCCCCGGGGGCGGGTGCTACTTTCATTCCTTGTGTGACACTAATGTAGTGTCAGCTTCTGTCAAGCTTAATGCCATTGTACAACAAGAAGGCAAGGTACAGCCTAACGTGCAGACGAAGCATCAACTTCTTCTGCGGACTGCTTTCCTCTTGGGTGTCATGTGACCAGAATGTAATCGCAGCCTTTGCGATTAGAAAATCTCGTTTTATTACATCGCGATAATATTGCAAATGCAATTAATTGTTCAGCCCTACTTCAATTTAAACGTTTGTTTTCAAAATTGCATTATCACTTGGCAACGGGATACATCCTTCCTCTACCACATTTTTAGGTTATTTTACTTTCCATTAAAGATGAAAACCTCTATTGAAATAGGCTAACCACACTGTACTATAATAACCAACTGAATCTCTCCCATTTCTGAACTGAACGGTTTCACATGGACCTTGGTACATATATTTTTCTTCCTGTTTTATGACCTGTTATGTGACCAACTGATGCAGTAATTGATTATTGTTTTCACCACTGCCATTTAAAAGAATGTGGAAATTAGCATTATACACAGAATGATTTATTGAATCAATGACAATGGTTCTTCAGATAATGTGCTCTCATTTAAATGCGTTTTAGCTGAGTTTTCTTACTTCCTATCACATCATACACAACATACGTTAATAAATACAGGACAAGCTTTCATTGAGAAATAAGCTTACAAACAGTTTATACACAGCAACAGTTTGAAATTTGGGGGAATATGCATAGTCACGAAGGTTTATTGAGTATATTGATACCACTCTAATGCTGCAGCAAACAGCTAGTTAGCTTAGCTTAGCAAAAAGACAAAACAGTGGTGAATCAACTATCCTGGCAAGTCTGGCTGGCTGTAAAATCTGCCTACCAGCACCTTTAAAGCCCAGAAGTAGCTGGGAAGATTAATTCCACCCTGAAATCATAATTGTGCTAAGCTCAATTAAATGTATGCTGGCTGTAGCTTTATTTTAAACATAAAGACATCTCATCTAATTCTTAGCAAAAAAGCGCCAAGGTATTCTTTTAGAAGGTTTCATCTCTCTTTGTTAGAAAGTGAAATCTCCTTTCTTATCCGATTGCTCACCAATTCAGGTTTGGATGCCAGTCCACCTGCCAGCACCCATGAACTCACCATTCCTAATGATGTGAGTAAATCTTTTTGCTTTTTTTTTAAAGGTCTTTTCCCCAGCAACATTGCAGTTACATGGCATTGCGGTTACATGGTAACCTTTCAGCTACCTAGGCGCTCCAAGTAATGCTTTCTTGAGATAGCTGACTGAGGGACATATGTTTCTGTATGCCTACCTTTCAGATTATTTTATGTGTTTAATTTGCAATTTGCATATCATATGTCAATTGTGCTAAAAGATTATAATTTATGTTATGTTGTATTCGGACTTTAGCCGTAGAGGGTGGTGGCAGCTTTAATTGTTAATGAACTTATAAGGAAAACATCTGGAAATAGAAGAGAGATAATCCTGGCTTTCAAACGTATCAGTGTCATAACAAATGATTGACAACATCATCAACTATGATACTGCCTTACTTTTGGCACAGTAGATTACCCCCAGTCAGCTGATCTATTGGCCAAGCTATCATTAAACCAAAGTTAATTTCCTGAATGATGGCATTCAAATGAAACCCAGACCATTTCATAACTCATTAAACTTCCCTTTTAACACCAAATATATTAGATATAAGGTATAAATGTATTAAGACAACTCAGAAGTTTTCTTTCTTCAGGTTAAAAGACTTCTGCTTTTCTTCCAGCTAATAGGCTGCATTATTGGGCGCCAAGGAACCAAAATAAATGAGATTCGACAGATGTCTGGGGCGCAGATCAAAATTGCAAACGCCATGGAGGGCTCATCAGAGCGCCAGATCACCATCACAGGGACCCCTGCTAACATCAGCCTGGCCCAGTATCTCATCAATGCCAGGTAACCTTTTAACTCTTAACAGCTAGGGTCCATCACAATCTAAAGAATAAAAGCAGCATGTGAATTACCATCCTGATAGTGGAGATCTAAGAAAACAGTTTGAAAAGACAGAAAAACATATCTTGCTAGTTTAGTTTGGATGTTCATGACACTGATATTGAAATGACTTGCCAGAAAATGTACAATTTTGACAAGAGACAGATAAGGCCATGAATAATGGGTTTTTTCTTGGTTGTTCCTTTCAACTTTTGTTCCTTATTTCAACCCCAGTGCATATATTAAAATGCTTTGGGTTTCAGCCAGTACACTCTTTGCAAGTAAGTGGCTCACTGGACCTATGCCAACTTCTGAGACAAGTAGGCTGTGGTTTGGAACGCAACCTGCAGATTAGTAAATTGGATGATCAATAAATGAATCTTCAAATGTTTAATGCCTTCCTCAGTTTGGAAAGTTCATGGCCCAAATCTTCATGTTTAATGTGTAAACCAACACAAAATGGCATACAGCCATATATTAAAAATATAATATATCAGTAAAATACAGAGGAACATATTTTTCATTGAAATGTTTTGCCATGCTCCACTACCCCTGCCTCTTTTCCCCCTCTATCCACTGAAACCTGTAATTCATTATCAACAGAAAAAATAAATGTATTATCCACAACTCTGAACCTCACTGATGTCCACAGGCTACCAACACCTCAAAGTCAAATGTTATCAGCATTAAAGCAAGAAAACCCACAAACAGGACTTTATGTCTGTGACTTCTTAAGGGGATTTCGGACAGCAGTCCGCCGAGAAACTAATGGCTATTGCTTTCCCACAATTCCAATGGCAGGTTCAGGGACGTGGCTGCCATGTGGAATGACCCCTCATCCATGACTACATCCTGAAGTCACCACAAATCTGGTTCTGTTTGCAGAAGTTAACATCAAAACCACCGCTTCACAATTAACCTCAATGTGTTATCCCATGGAACTTCCCCTAGACTCCCTTGGTTTTGCGTAACACTTTAGCATTAGCCTGTGGGAGACCTATAGTCAGATAAACTACACTGGGATTTGTTTTAAATGGATGTAGTGTATCGTTAAAGGATCAGTTTGACAGTCTGGGAACAACGGTCATTCCTTTGTTTTCTTAGATTTAGGTAAGAAGATGATTACCACTCTAATCTCTGTCAGTTAAATTTGAAGCTACATCCCGGACACTGTTAGCTTAGCTCAACAATGGCTAGACACAGGGGCAAACAGCTAACCTGGCTCTGTCCAAAGGTAACAAAATCCAACAGCTCTGAAGCCTGGATTCCACCGTGCATGCAGGAGCTGCTCATGGCCGTTGACAATGCTTGTGATTCCACCAGATGAATACACTTGTCAAATTTCAACACCCCGTGCAGACACAGTTAAAACAGACAAGAAAAGAAAACATTTAACTATGTAGCCTACTGTAGCCTGCTCAGAAAAATCTAGGAAAAATTACCAGATCAACACAATCTGAGCAAGTCAACAAAGCCAGGCAGTCAAAAAGCTCAGCTTCTGAAACACTCTCTGAGGGGTATGAAGTCGTGCAGAGGACAGAACAAAACCATGTTACAGACGTAATGTTATAGAGCCATGGCCAGTGGAATAAAGGCATACAGCTCCCTAATTAACATGCTGACTGCTATGCACCCTCACATTGCTGACAAGCCACAGGATGACATTGCAAGACATAGTTTGGCCCATAAAACTTTAACTTTTCATTTTTTACACAAATAAGCTCTAATATTTTAATTAGGGAGTTTTAAAAGGTGCCAGTAAGCAGATTTTACTACTTTCAGACAGAGCCATGCAAGCTGTTTCCCCCTGTTTTCAGTTTTTATGCTAAGATAAGCTTGGTTATGATCTTCTCATCTTTTTCTCCAAGAAAGCGAATAAGCGTGTTTCCCAAAATGTCAAAGTATTCCTTTAAGTATTTATTTAGCATGCCTCATTCCAAGAATAATAGTATTTTTCTTATTGTCATTACTATCTTAGATACATTTGCTTATTAAGTCCTATTGTGTCATTGTCTGGAAAGAGTAAAATTAATAAAAAATGTAAAATGAACAAAAAAGCAAAGAAAAAAAGAACACATTACTGCCACTCGAGCAATGCTGTTAGAAAGAAGAGTGATGTGATGCTTCTGTCAGGGAATACAGCAACTTCTACATTGGAAATTTCATGACACCACCATTTTTTTTCTGTCCACTGCATGACTTCATTAGAGCACTAGTAAGGCGTGGTTATGTTACCATATTTTTGAAGATATTTTATGTGAAAGGAAACAATGAAAATATGGTATCAAATCTGTGTAAAAGAAAAAAAAAACAGGTGCCGGCAAAAATTGGAGCACAAAGCCGGGCATTGCAGCATACCTTTACTTTTGAGCGAAAGTCCTTCTTTCACAGCTGTTTTTATTTTCTCTGTCTACCCCCCCCCCTTCCACTCCTCCTCCTCCCCCGCCTTCCCTGAACTGTTCTAGGCTGACGTCTGAAGTCACTGGAATGGGCACACTCTAATTTCTACCCGTCTTCCCTCAGTGCATCACATGACCCTTGAGCAAATGGCATTACACCTAGTTTTATTTATTTCTCTGTATTTGACTGTCCTGATATTTAAGTGACTTTAACATTTATAATTTCTTGTATTTACTATAAACATGTTTATGCACTGTTACTTGGATTCCTCACACCTATCCAAAACCCTGTTGTTTCTGTTTCTGAAAGGTCGCTTTAGTTTTTTGACACTCTAGTACCTTTCATGGCATCTTACTCACTGCACCGCTTTGTTTTGCCTCGTGCTTTAACACGTCACTACTACTACTATTTTTTGCACTGCAGGCACCTGAAAGTAAATGCAAACTAAACTGAAAGACTGAAGAACAATTTAAACCAAGGTTGTCCCTCCCCCACCCTGCATTTGAATGTATTGACACATTTTGTATTCCATATTTAGACCACTATACTACCTGTGTCAATGCATTGCTAAACACAAAAGTTCAATAAGCACCTCTAAACCACATATTTTATGGCAGTCTATTTCATACTTTCATGATTGATGAAATGAATGCTTTATTGCGTGCCTGTAGACATTTACCTGTTTGTCTTAGTGTTGTATCTACACTAGATTGATCTGCATGACCCACAAAATCGACTACATTTCCAATTTATTTTAAAAGCAAATGGGCAGATAGGAGACTAAATTGTGAAATGGAATGGAACAAGCCTTAAACAGTCTATTTGAAATGACCTCATGGGTACAGTCCAATATACATCCACCATAATATGCAAATATCAGTCCGAGTTTCATGTGAGATGTGACATAAAGGCTGGGAAAATGAAAATGACCATAAATGGCCGCAGCAAAGAAATCCAACTGCATGCAATGAATAAACCACACTTTTATCACCTATACTTCACAAACATGTAATCGCGTTATTCATGCTGCCATCTCATAGCAGCTATGGTTAAGAAATGTCCAAGAGTTGTCTAGCTTTTCATTCACATGCAGCTCATTTAAGGGTTTCTGTGTATTTCAAAAGGGCTGAAAAGCTCCTGGGAAGCAAGACCCTAGTTAGTCAATCAGGTCTGTTTTTCAGCTCCTTCCTCACATGCGCCTATTACAATTTGGTAGTCAACAAGCCACTCCAGACATGAAAAACATAGCATGTATAAAACATTGGAAACACATTTTCAACGTATGTATCTATCAGTTGTTGATTTTGCAGGTTATGTCAGCCAATCAAGCTCCATACAAGCCTTCCGGTACATATACATGTATGGATGACTCTGCAGTTGCAATCTAATATCGAGTATCTCCTTGGTTACACCAGGCTGGATATCTGTTTCAGATATGCACAGACCAAACCAAACTGTGTCCCTGTTCAAAGTAAAGCTGAATTAATTTCAAAATGTGTTTTAACTGCTAACATGTCAAACACCTTCAATTAGTACAGTAGAAAATGATGCAGAATGATGAATATAGTAGAGTGGGAATGCTTATTTATAATAGAAAATGTATGGGTGGGCAGGTTGCTCTCAAGAGAAATTCTGTTACAAATTACAGTTTATTACACTAGATACATGTAGTGTTATCAAATCTGATTATTTTCTATTATGTTTAATATAAATATACCTATCAGCAAACATATGAATGGATGGCCTTATTAGTATCTACAGCTCTCGTTTCAAAATGTAGCCTATGAGATTTAAAAAAAAATTACCAATCTTTCACTTCACAGTCAAACATGACACTCCAACAAGTAATATGATGGCTGTGTTGCAGGTAGCAGCTATTTTTAATCCATCCTACCTTAATACAATTGTACATTTTACTCTGAAAGCCTGCATATGCATCACTCCAGTTATGATTATATAAATGATGGAGGATATTATTTGCGTTTAGGCTCAGGTATGTGGCTTTTGGTTAGAATTGATTAGGTTGTTGTTATGGAAACAAGGCTGACATCAATTAAATTTACATTTCACATATTGCTTCACAATTACATTATGAATGAAAATGTGTTCCATAGACCTCATCTGGCTGCATCCAGATGTGTTTCTGACGAGCAAACTGAGGAATAGGTGATCGAGGGCTAAAAGGTTTTTAATGTGTCGTTTAAAAAGGACCCCTTCTTTTACAGAATTTGATCATGAAAGTAAATGGATATCCTCTGTAGTGTACATTCATGGCCGTGTGTTGTAGGTTCAAGGTGTCTGCTGTTTGTGTGCAGGCAGGCCAACCAAGATGCAGTCGTGCTACTTTACAGTATGACCAATTTCAGTTGCCTTTTTGATTGTGGTCATACTTTCATAATCATGGCATGGCACATGTGCTCATCATTCTAAAATGCTATGTAAGTCAACCACCACTCGTGTTGGTTTTGTCATTTTCTGATGTATTAAAAATGTTTTGTTACTGTGCTAGAGCAGCAAAAAACTAAAGGTTAGCACTATATGATGCTTTTGAGGAAATGTGTCTGAACATGTTTAAGTTTGATCCTTTGCTTCTTGAATGTCTGTATTGAATTTATTATTTATTGAGGTTGATTCTGAAATGTTTTGTAAAAAGAAGAGAATAAAGTTTATGTTTTTTTCCCTTGAACCTTTGTCATCTTTTTCAAGTTTTTACTTAGTGTGAATTGTGTTGCATGTAGTGATGCAAGTTTCAAACTCTCATTATACTTAATTGGCTGCCAACACCCTTGTCAGATGAAATTAGTTACAGACTACACTATTTTTAACATATTGAATGTGTTCGACTTTTCAGCTTGACTAAACATTATCTTTTTCAAAAAAATAAAAACATTTATCAATATGCATGCTCCAATGTTGATGGCTCAAAATAAAATTTTAATATTTCAACCATAAAAACAATCAGCCATCTCCTCTCTTCCTGCCAGTAGAGGGCAAATTGAGTCATCTTTGGTTTATTTGTAGTGCAACATTACCCAAGGAGTCTCTGTAAATCCGACCAACAGTATTGGTATTCGCATGCATGCATACATTCACACACACACACACACACACACACACACACACACAGAGGCAGAATCCCATCTCAGTTATATGTACAGAATTGAAGGTTACATGAGTCAAATACAAATCAGCTGAGCATTTACCCAGTCAGTAAAAGCAGAGAGGACCACAGCATAAAAGAAAAAGGGCCTAGAGATTTAAAAATCTTGCCTTGAAGTATTAAAAGTTGTCAGCAAAGCAAACCTCTTGTTAAATGGCTTAAAGGTTAAAGTGTCCCTCCGCTCAACAACGTGTTTTGCTTATTGTTACTTCTCTTGGATGTTTGAGCTTCACTGTGCAATGATGATGTATCTGCAGAGTTTGACACTAGAATTCATCTGCTGAATGGGGAAGGTTTCTCTGTGCTCACATTAAATCTCAGTTTAACACGCTAACTTACGAGATGATTTTGTGACATCACACCTAGTTTGGAAGCGAAATGAGGTCCAATACGCAACTTATGCAAATCTCTGGTGCACATACACTGAGAATGGGCTTTCGTGAAGTAGGCAACATCCTGTGTCCAGCAGTCAAACTTGCATTATTCATTTATCAATCAGGGAGAAGGAGAAGGTAAGGTTTAAATCATTTTTAACCAGGCAACGGACAAACACAAATTAGGGTTAGCGGAGTATTTTCTATGTCTAAAACAGTGGTGGAAGAAGTACTGAAGTTTTTACTTGAGTAAAAGTACAAATACCACATGGCAGCATGGATCGGTGTGATGTGGTTGCTTCTCTTAGAATGAGTTAAAAGCGTTTTGTATAAGTTGCAGTCTTTCTATGTTTTGCCTGCTGATACTAAAATAAAGTGCATTACAATAGTCAAACCTGGAAGAGATAAAAACATGGATTTCTAAATGAAACCATCTGAGAAGTTTAGAGGGGAAATATCTCTAACAACTCATAGACACCTGGAAACATGACAAGAACCATTTTTGTAAGGGGGTAAAAGAGTAAATGTACCACACGTCTTAAAACAGAATAGGTGAATGGGATGGTTGAAGAAATTGCTAATGCAAAGACATCAGCATAGGTGAAATCTGATGGAGCTTCTTTAGTTTTAGAGACAGTCTGGGAGCTGCTGTCATGGATAGGCCAGAGAAAAGTGCATTCCAATTTTCAGTTGCAGATGTTATAAAAGCATGTACAAGGATGTTGGTGTTTGTTGTAGATAAAATGAAATGTAAATGAAAAGGGATGAGTTGGCACTATTCATGATGTGTAACTGAAAAGTAGGAGAGGGTTAATAACCTTTTTCCAAAGTACTGACGGAGTTCAAATCTATACCGACCTAATGCAACGGTATGCGATAGGGCTGCACAATATATCGTTTCAGCATCGTGTCCATGCGCAATAGTCACATCGCAGAACAATGCAATGTCAATCAAGTCAAGTTAAGTCAAGCACCTCAACTTTTTTTGCCGCTTGATACAAAAGGAAAACTTGCTTCTCATTTTCATTGACTGATCTACAAGACAAGTCTGTCTTATGTATCTTTTACTCCGATTTAAGGGTTCTTGGATACACAGAGTTTGTTGCTAGTGAGTGACAAGCAGGCCCTGCATGCACAGCGAACCACCAATCACAATGATCAGTTTATTAAACAGCCAAAATAGGCCTTGAAAATAAGCGAGGAACAGGAGAAAACCATCTAAACAGTGTATTTAGTTGCAAAAAGAAACTTTTATAAAGAAGTCAGGGGGCAGGTGTATAACTGCTCTTTTATTTTTATCATGTTTAAAGTATGTTTACTGTGCTAAAGCTCAAGAATGGATGGTTTGTTCTTAAACAAAAGTCTTCAGACTAAAAAGAATTTTTTAGCTTAAGTGCATTCTCCCTACAAAATCACCCCAACAATTTTAGGATGCTTAATTCTTTTCAAATAGAGCAATTGAAGTGATCTGGTAAAAATTCATGTATTTTTTCATATATATCGCAGAAAAGAAAACTATAGCAATGTCAGTTTTTTTTCAATATCATGCAGCCCTAGTATTTGATTCATTCTGATTCCTGCAGCTTTTGTCTTACCCAGGGTGAGTCACATTCAGCCACCGAACAGCGCTCAAGGACTCTTCAGCAGGGGGTCATCTCAGCTCTTTTTCTAATGAATCCCACTCTGCCGCCAGTGAAAGACAAGAGAGGGATAAGGCAGATCTTGAATACTGGATGCAACTGATTCCAAATAAGACCAAGACAACACTGCATGAGGTCAGTTAGATAATTATGCACAACTTAATGCCCATAAAGGGGAGAAAATAGCTACAGTGAATCTCTGAAAAGCAAGTTAAAGGCAAGCTTTATGTCAATTAAGATGGTAACTGATTTTTGGCTTAGTTTCCTTTAAATAATCTATGACTCAACTCATTCACAAAAAGGCAGTGGTGTCCCACAGTGCCAAATGTTCACAGCCATTCTCACAATGAAAGTTAGCTAATACTGGTACTTTTCTTGGGCTCTCATAACTGTCAGGCTTATAAAAGGTGTTTGGTTGGTGCTCTTTCAGTGCAGAATTTTGGCCACTGGTTTTTGACTGAAAGCTTGTCTGGATCAGTTTTCTTTTCCTAATATCAGAATCTACAACAACAGACAGGAATGTGCAGGAGGTGAACAAAATACTAGTAGCACCCTGCAATATGATGCAATCAATTGCAAAATCCCAGCAAAGAACCAAATTCAGGACTATGAAATTAATAATGTTTTTCTTGAGACTGTCAGTGAGGTGTTGATTCAAGTCTATGGTATGTTCTTTTGCCATTCAAGCACATGCTGCACCTGCCTGATATTCTTTGCTACACAGACTGTAACGACTATGTGACACAGTTGACGGTTAATAATCCTAATGGTGACCTATAACACCATCACGAGTTCCACTTTCCTTTGCTTTCTCCATGGGTTCCTTTAGAGACCCTATAGTTTACAATATAATACTTAATGTAATTCTCAAAATGTCCCACAGTACTAATGCAAAATGGATGCACGATGAAAAGTGTTGGTTCATGTTAAAGAGCCACTGCTGTTAATTGGACATAGCTATGTTCTGGTCTGACATTCAGTTGGAATGAGTGCACAAGAGACCGAGCCACAGGGGACACTTTTGTCCACAGGCATGTTGCAAATTAAAAATGTCACAAGAGGTCACCTTGTACACAGCTCGACCATCAATCCACACCAAATCATTCATGGCTGTTAAATATGCCCAGTTTCAAGCAGCTCTTGATTGAGCTCCCAAAGTCCCTGATTGCATTTAGTAGCACATTCACCACGTCTAAATAAGGAGAGATAATCCCTGTGCTAAACAATTGACAACCTTGGCAGGGAAAGAGGGAGCTTCAAATTGTGTGTAGGATGCCCATTGTGATTTCGCAAGTCAATAACTTCATCATGACTCCTTTGTCATTTCCTCAAGGAAAATGGTTGCTCACATTTATCTAAACTACTTTACATTTCAGGTAAGGTGTGAGGTACCTAAAATATAATAAACCAATTGTTATGTGGCCTTTCACAGCAAACCCCATAAATGTAGTAGTAGCAAACCAACACTACAAACATTTGCAAATGTTACAGTATGTATCAATGACACAAAAA